CTCCACAGGATACCTCAGCCCACTTGTGACTGCTCACCGTTTGGGGGCTACACCGGAGGGGACCAGAGAGCCCCGCTCAAGGCCCCATTATTGGCAGAAGTTTCTGTAGGACCCCTCCCCCCCAACAGGTCAGAGGTTAGAGACACGGGGGCTGCTCACTTGGGGGGAGGACGTGGAGACTCCCCCACTCCCCTGGTGTGGTGTCTGTGAGGTCTGCAGGCAGCAGGCCACACTGCCCAGCGGGCCCTCCTGTGTGTGTGCAGGACGGCCCGAGGGGGGTCTCCTCACCAGGACCCCTCGCGTTGCCTGGTCCCCGGCCTCTGCATCCTCCCGGCACCTCAGGCCTGGCCCCGGGAAGCGGTGCCCGGGCTGGGGCGGGCCCAGAGGAAGGAGCCCTTGACTCAGAGTTACAGGAAGAGCGGCAGGCGGGGCGGGCGGGGGCAACCCACTGCCCGCCTGCCTGGGGGGGTGGCGCCTGGGTGGGGTTTAGGGTTCGGAGAGGATGTGACTGCGCGGCCAGGAAGCTTCGGAAAAGTTCTGATTAAAATACACACACAAAGCCAGGTCCTCGCCCTGCTGGGCGATGGGTCCCCAGCAGCCGCGGTGGGACTGGGCCGGGGGCCCTGCCGAGCGGCGGTTGCTCCCAAGCACAGGTCAATGCCATCCATGACCAGCGTTGCTAGCAGGACCGGAACCAGGTGACTGGGCGCCCTCCCCCCTCGGCCTGCTGCTCTGCGGGAGCCTGAATCCTCACCCGCCGAGGCCTCCCCGGCCTGAGGCCTGTCCTGGGTCAGGCTGGGAGAGCGAGGGACAACAGGAGGCTGCTGTGTGCCAAGGGGCTGGTTCATGTGTGTGGTGGGGACATGCAGGTGCTCCTGGCTGTGTCCCTGGCAGGAGCTGTGCCAGTGTGTGCCGGGTGCGCCCACTGCGTGGGCCCCAGAGGGCTGGAGGGTGGGGAGTGTCCACGTGCGGACACGGGCCAAGGTGGGAGCTGAGTGCAGGTGTGTGTGCAGGGGGTGTGGGGAGAGGAGGGTGTGCAGACAGCCTGTGCAGAGGAGGGGTGTGGACGGGTGAGTGTGCAGGGCAGGCCCCCTCCTGGCCTCATGAGGGTGCCAGCAGGATGCCCACTGTTCCGTCCTGGGCCATCACGGTGGTGGCCCTGGGGCAGGTGAAGGTGAGTCGAGGGCCCGGTGTGCGGGGCTCAGAGCGACTCTGTTCTGGTGTCTGGGTGCCCGCCGCCATCCCCGAGGCAGCCAGCGCACAGCACTGCTCGTGACCAAAGTTACATGTTAACTCGTCCTGTTCTTGTTTAACTTGCTCTCTGGGAATGGCGGCAGCCTCTGACCCATCCTGGCAGCCTGACTGACCCACCACAAAGACAGCGAGCGAGTCCTGCCAGCCCTGGGGTCCAGCCTGCTCAGCTGAGGAGCCGTGGAGCCAGGGGTGGCACCGTGCCCGGCTTGCCCGAGGCGGCCCTGGTCAGACCATGGCAGGTAGATGGGTCAGAGGGACGGGCACGGGCCCCACTTTACCTCCAGCACCTCCCTGGCGCCAGGCTGCCATTTAGCCCAGACTCTGCTCCCC